GGAAGTGGCTTTAGATTCCCAGTGCTGTGCTTTAACCCGCTGCGCCACCAGGGAGGGCCGGTTTTTTTGTTTTTTTGTTTTTTTTTTAAGATTTATTTTTTCATTCATACAAGAGCTGGAATATAGGCCAGAGGTACAGGGAGGTGAGAGGATTCACCAGAGACAGAATGGGGAGCAGAACAGGCAGATCTACTGCTGAGGGGAGCAGCGGTGGGTGAGGAGAGGTCTGCTTCGCCAATGGGTCAGCTCCAGGGCTGGGATCAAACTTGCACTGCAGCAGCTGAGGCCAGCTTGCAGGTGCAGTACTGTGTCCTAACCCTTTACCCACCAGGGAGAGCCCTCTGCTTTAACTTTTTAAGCTACTGAGTAACCAAGAATGTTTATGTTATCGAAGTCATTTCACATTTCACATTTCACATTTCACATGTTTTATTTCATTTTAAAAGCTAAGTTTGCTTGTAACTATTTAAGCTTCTATATCGATTTTTGAAATCCTCATTTGATTAAGTGGGTCATTAGTATTGTTTCATACTGATCTTGAACCCTTTTTGATCTTGAACCCTTTTCCAAACTTCTCCTTGGAAGAAGCTGTACCAGGTCCCCCTCACTCCCCAGGTGGCCCTCAAACTTCACAGACTCCAAAGTCTGGGTACATACCTCCCAGCTAAAGAAGGGTCCACATGAAGTTGGGTCCTGAACAGATACTGAAAAGCTGCAAACCAAACTAATGAGAAAAAGAAGCAGCTGACTTCAACCTAGACAGCTTCCACCCAAGAGACTGGTTGAAGGCTGCATACTCCTTTCCCCTCCCCCCTGTTTCTTTCTTAGGGTTAAGGAGGCAAGATAATCCCCCCTGTATCCTTTAGGCCATTGCTGGGGTTTGGGGGGGAGGAGGGAGAAGAAGGGGGAACTAATCTCAGACTATTGGATTTTCCACTATGCTGATAGCATAGTTTTGCCTACCACAGCTCCTTCCTAAGTTCCATTTCTCTGTAACATACTCAACCTCTATTGTGTCAGACTCCCTAACCTGAAGGGCCCATTTCCTGGACTCTGGTTAACATACAAAGCCAAGGAAATTTGCATTCCAGTGCTCTACAAGGGAAAGCGTACAAGCAAGGGTAAACAGCAGTGTAGATCTTAGACTCTTAGGTTTATAAGCCTCATGGCTATAACCACCTCCTGAACCTCCAAGATATGCAGAATCTGCAGCCAGAGCTGCCCAATAGAAAATCCTCAGACTCTGGTGTCTGTCTTTTAGCTAAGCAAGAAGGTGTCTTGTGTTATAAACTCTATCATGTGGTATAGCCGGATGGGCACTTCATCAAATCTAAACTAGTTCAAGGACTCTGCCTCAACTGGAGTTCATAAAAGACGATGTCTTGTACCAGTACAGAGTCCAAATAGAAGCAAGATTTTAAAATCTACCCAATCCTCATGCAACAGAAAAAGCCCAGAGAGGCGATTTGACAAGATGTGTGAGTAGAGGGACGTGATCCCAGTGTTCACGACGTCATCCAGTGCTCTCCTCCCTTTCATCACACTAGCCCCTGGTAACCTGCACACACCGCATTGTAAAACACTTCAGCACCCCTACTCAGACCCTGGCCCTGCGTCCAGCCATGTCAGCTCACTTCCCTGCTTTCCCAACGCAGACTCTCAGGTCTCCGGCATTTCAACAGGCAATCTGGAGCTAGAGATTCTAAGAGAGTTAACAATACAAAAGAAACCTGAGTGTTTGCTTTCGATCGACGCCAATTTAGAAAAACAAGTTAAAACAAAGTGATCTCTGCCCCTCTGAGAGCTTTATGACCTCAAGCAAGTTTCTTAGTCTGTCTAGAAGATGAGAAAAATTAGCATGGCCCCAGCCCAGACAGTAGAGCAGACAGGCACTGCGCCTTAACACGAGACTAATAAATGCTTCCCAGGGCATGTTCCAACAGCCCTGACGCCCGGTGGATGCTGGCGCTGGCTGCGCGGCTGTGGCACACAGTGAGCCTCGGCCAAACGTATTTCATAAACAACTATCGAGAGCGCAGGTGATAGCAGTTTCTTTACTTGGTTGTGCCATTCTTCTCGTATCTGGCACTCATAACTGCCAGTTTTCTCCCTGCCATCATCAAAACCGTGTCAGGTCCCATCTCCACTAGACACTGAGGAGCAAGAAAGGTTGACGGTCGTGCATCCATTTAAACTATAAATCATTCGAACCGTGTAAATCCAGGTTACCAGGTTGCAGGGCACAGCAGCCCGCTACCCGCCCTGACGCGGCGCCCTTCAGCTGCCCCGCCCATCCGCCACTAAGCCCCCCCACGCCACGCCCCACCGCCGCCGCCTCCCAGCGCCCCGC